GAAAATCAAATAAGCAATAACACAGTTCTAATGGGGGAACTTAATATCCCATTGTCACAAAGAGATAAATCAACTAGACAAAAAAAATCAGCAAAGAAATGACAGAACTGAACCAAACCTGTGAACACATGGACTTAACAGATGTTTACAGAGTGTCCCGCTCAACATTAGAATACAAATTTTCTTCATATGGAAACCAATATACTAACCCATAAAACATGCTTATGTAAGTGCAAATGAATTGAAATTATCCCATCCATATTACCTGATCATAGTGCAATGAAATTGGAAATTAACAACAGAAGAAACTGCAAAAACCTTTTAATGAATAGAGGGATTTGTTCTAATAGTGTTTATAACTAGGATATCATGTTTACATCTTGTACAGCAAATAACCACTAGGAAGGCAGTATGCAATGTGTTGATTATTGGAGCTGTCCTACCAATTTGATTTGAAACTCTTATTGCTATTTGTTTCTCAATAAAATTATGGGAAAAAAAAGAAACTGCAAAAACACCGTAAACAGGGGCTGGGGAGTTGGCTCAGTGGAATAAGCACTTCCCTGGAAAGCACAAGGGCCTGAGTTCAATCCCCGGTTCCACCAAAAAAAAAAAAAAAAGAACACTGTAAACATATGGAAATTAAATAACACCATCTTGAACAATCCATGGGTCACAGGTGACATTAAAGAAGAAATTAAACAATGCCTACAATCAAACAAAACTTCAAATGAAACTTAACAGAACCTGTGAGATAAAATGAAAGTATTCCTTACAGAAAAATTCATAGTGGTGAGTTATCACATTAGAAAAACAGAAAGAACACAAACAACTAATGCTACCCCTCAGGCTTCATAATAACAACAAGTCAAGCCAAAAGTCAAAAAGAAGGGAGAAAATCATAAAGATCTAAGCAGAAATTAATACAATTGAGATTAAGAAGCCAATATAAAGGATTAATGATTGAAAAGTTAGATCTTTGTAAGAATAAAAAAATTGATAAAGCCCTAGCTAACTTTATCTGATTGTAGAAACACTTTATTTCTCAAAGGCTTTTCTTACTTTAGAAGAAAATTAAAATATTAAAAACAAAAAATTTTTAAAAATTTCAAAAATCAAGATGATAGTAATTAAACAATGCTTGCTATAGTGCACAGTGTTGTCTTCAAAGTAGTTGTTCAGATTACCAGATATAAGTAAAAAAACTTTGGTGAAAAAAACTAATCATTAGCTGATCCTTTCAATAAATCAATAAAAATTAGTAGTAAAAATTAGATTGATATTCATGCATTGAACCATAGAAAAGGTGAAATAACTATACATCTTGAGGAAATTCAGAAGATCATCAATACCTACTTTGAAAATCTTTACTCTCACAGAATGAAAAACTCAGAAGAAATGGACAGATTCACAGAAACATATGAATTACTGAAGCTGAATCAGGAGATATAAAAATTTTGAATAATCAAATATCAGTTAATGAACAATTTACCAACAGAGAAGAGCCTGGATCTTGATGAATTCGTAGATGAATTCTTCAAGAAATTTAGAGAGAATTTGGCACCAATACTCCTCAAACTTTTTAAGGAATTTGAAAGGAAAGCAATTCTACCTAACTCATTCTTGGAGGCAAATATTAGCCTGATAATAAAACCAGACAAAGACCCAACCCAAAAAAGGAGAATTGTAGGCCATTCTCCATAATGAACAGAGATGCAAAAATCCTCAATAAAATACTAACAGAACACAGCAAGTGATCAAGAAGAATGTACACCATGACCAAGTGGGATTCATCCCAGTAATGTAGATATGGTTCAACATATGAAAATCAATAAATATAACACACAATATCAACAGAAGCAAAAACAAAAATCACATCATTATCTCCATAGGTGCAGAAAAAACTTTTGATAAAGTCCAACAATCATTCACAATAAAATTCTAGATTGGGGAGATGGCTCAGTGGAATAAGAGCTTCCCTGGCAAGCGCAAAGGCCTGAGTTCAATCCCCAGATCTGCCAAAAAATAAAAATTAATAGAACGGCACAATAAAATTCTGTAGATAATTAGGATAGTCTTTACCTCAATCTGATAAGTGCCATCTGTACAAAACCAACAGATAACATTATACTAAATGATCAAAAACTGAAAGGTTTTGCTTTATTTTTTATTTTTATTTATTTATTCATTTATTTTTTACGAAGCTTTATTCCAGAGGGACTCTGTCCTTCTTAGCACCTGCCTTCCTCATGGCAGCCAGCATGTTGCTCAGCTCCTCACACTTCCTCTTGGTGTGGATGTGCATCCCCACACTTTTCTTGATGAACTTGAGGGCACATTTGTCCTTAGAGACCTGGAGCAGCTCCATGGTGCACCTCTTGTAGGGGGTGAACCCACACACCTACCCAATCATGTTCTGCATGAACTTGGTATGTTTGGTGAGGTGTCTGCTATGGCAGCTGTGCCTTGGTTTGCTCACATTAAGAGTCACTTTGTGACCCTTGTTGAGGCCCACAGCCATGGGATAGTGGAAGGCCATGGCTACTGTTTTTCGATGGTTGCTGTCAGGTTTCACTTTAAAATATGGAACAGGACAAGAACTCCACTACCATCACTTTTTCAATATAATTCTGGAAGAATTAGCCAGATAAATTAGACAAGAGAGAGACATAAAAAGGAAAAGATAGGAAAGGAAGTGAAATTATCATTATTCACAGATGACATACTCTACATAGAAGAACCCAAACTTCCACCAAATGACTTCTAGATTTACTAGCCCAATTCAGTAATGTAGCTGGATCAAAGTCAACAAATAAATATCATTCTTGTACAAAAATAACAAACTGACTGAGAGATTAAGTAAATCAAATTCTTCACAATAGCATCCAAAATATGAGATACTTAGAAATAGACCTAACATATTAAGTAAAAGATCTATACATTGAAAATTACAGTATTCTGAAAAAGAAGATTTCAGAAAATGAAAAGATATTCTTTGCTTATGGATAGGAACAACCAACATAGTGAAAATGACCAGACTCCCAAAACTCTTATACAGGTTCGATACAATTGCAATTAAAATATCATTAACATACCTCACAGATCTAGAGAAAACATCGCTAAAATTTGTCTGGAACCAGAGCAGAGCCAGACTAGCAAAAGCATTCCTGGGCAACAAAGTCAGGCAGGAGGCATCATAATCCCTGAATTAAAATTATGCTATAAATCTACTCTGATAAAATTAGCATTGTATAGTAAAAATGCAGACCTGATGATCAGTGGAACAGATTAGAAGATGTAGACACAACTACAAATACACTCAGCTACTTTGTCTTTGACAAAGGGGCCAAACACATTCACTGGAAAAAACATAACCTCTTTAGTAAATGGTGCTGGAAACACAGGTTTTCCACATGCTGAAGCCTAAAATTAGACCCATGTTTATCACCATGTACTGAACTAAAGTAAAAATGGATCGAAGTTCTATATATTAAAACAGAAACACTAAATCTACTTGTAGTGAAACTAGGTAGAAATCTTAAAGGCAGAGGGATAGGCAGAGACTTCATGAACAAAGCCCAAGTTTCACAGGAAATATTTCAAAGAATTAACAACTGGAATCTCATTTTACTAAAAGTTTTTGCATATTGAAAGAAATGAAACAGTGAAAAGAAAATGCACACATTGGGAAAATATTTTAGCTAACTATCCATCAGATAACAGACATATCTAGAACATATAAAGAAATGAAAAAAAACCAGACTCCTCGAATTAAAAGACTCAATAAAAAATGGGGGTCTGAGATGAATACATATTTCTCATATTAAGAATCACAAATAGCAAATAAATATATGAAAAAATGTTCACAATTATTGGTCATTTGAGAAATTCAAATTAAAACAACACTGAGATTCTCATTCCAGAAAGAATAGGTATCATCAAATGATCAATCAGTAACAAATGCAGGCAGGGCTATGGGGAAAAAAGAATGATCATGCACTATTGGTGGAGTGCAGACAGGCATAACCAGTATAAAAATCACTACAAAGCTCCTCAAAAAATTAGGATTAGGGGTCCTGTTTGAGTGAGCTATTCTACTTTGGGTATTTTACCATAAGAATTGAAAACATCATACCATATTAATGTAGTTACATCCATATTTATGGCAGCACAAGAGCTAAGTCTTGGAAACAACTCAAATACCCATCAACTGAGGCATGGATAAAAAAGATGTGGTGTTTTTAATACAATGGAGTACTATTCAGACATAAAGATGAATAAACTTAAGGCTTTTATAGATAAATGGTTGTAACCTGAGACCATACTCTTAGGTGAAACAAATCAGGTTCACATGTGTAAATATCATATTGTGTCCATAGTGTAAGGAACTGAAACAATGAATAAGATCCAAAAGATACAATAGACATTGTGAAAGGAAAAGAAACTGCTGAAAATGAAAGACTAACTAGGAAAGGGGGAAAGAAGGAAGGGAAAAGAAAATGTATGTAAACACACATACAAGACAGCCAAGATGGTTATACTACAAATTTCATTTACTTCATTGAAGAGAATGATTTGTTCTTATATATTTTGATCAATCTTGCATGTTGGTATCATGTAGTATGAGCAACTACTTTGAAGCTAACAGTATGCAATATACTAACCATTGTTAATTTCATATGATCTTGTCTTGAATTTCTGTTTTGTTTTTATTGTTTTTCTCTTTAAAATAAAAAAAAATAGATTATAAGGACCAGCCTAACAGCTCAGCAGATCAAAGTGCCTGCAAGCAGGCACAGGGGTCGGGGTTCGATCCCCGGGCCTGCCACGCCAGCCCCACCCCCGGGACATGCTGACACTGCAATTGAGACTGGGAGCTCTTGGGAGGCTACAAACAGCCAGATCATTACAAGTCTGATCTAGTAGTAAGACCTTGAACACCCTGTACATCCTTCTGTAAAATATAGGTTTAATTCAAACTTTCTTTAATTTATATTCAGGGGAGTACTGCAGTTCAAAAACATCTCATATAGAATTGAACCACTGGAGGCTGTATCAGGGTTTATTCACATGATCTATGAAGAAAACAATGATAACACTCCTGTTCCTCTCTTTGGAGAAAATGATTCTTATGCTCGGGTTAATGATGTAGGAAGTCAAGTGAGAAGCCGTGTACACGTAAGCACGAAGTTTGTTTTATTTGTTTTGTATAGTTTTGTTAAATGCAAAGTGCATTTGCATCTAGATTTCATTGCTGATTGGTAGATTTATCATTACTTTTTCATGAGGAATGTGAATGATTTTTAAATGACTAGTAAGGCAATCTCTGTTCATTGTTATGCTTATCATTAGACACAAGTTTAGCAAAATCTTAGATAATTAAAATCTTGCAAGTATGTCTAGAACTACAGATGAGATTACATTTTAACATATGGACTTTTAGGTAATGAACATACTTTTCTTTTGTCCAACTACTGAGATAATTTAGATCAAAATATTAAATACTTGTTTCATGGAAGTTCAAAACTGAACAATTTTAGTGGCTTATATAAGGCAAATGTAAAATAAAGTGATGAATTTTTCCTCCACAGATTAGTTTCCTAATAATTGGTAAAAATAAACCTGTAATACTAATGCAAATATTAATATGACTCTTAGCCACACTGATAGATGCATAAATGGTTAAGGCTAATGTATAGACATATAGGAAATATAAATATTATTATGATTGGTATTAAGCCTACTAATATGCAGGTGACTAGCATGCGGATTCTCACAAGGATAAGAAAAGGAATGCTTTATGTTATCAAACCTAAAATTTTATTTTAATTATTACAACAATAAAAGATATCTGAATTCCTTTATAAATTGGCAAGTCTAACTGAAAACTCTTGCTAATCACAGCACTTTTTGAACTCTAATCTTCAGACTGGTACTTAAATTTTATATTTTATAAAAAAAACCTTATTATATTCTCAATAGGAATGTATCTTTCAGATTATCCCTGAACATAATTTTATGAGAAGGTAAGGTCTTGTTAAATCCTCTTGACACATTTTGTGTATTTTTCAGAAAACTGAACTTAGCAAGTTATTTCCTCGATACATTGAAATGTATATTGTTGTGGATAAAAATCTGGTATGTTTTAGTCTTTTCATTATTATTTTAAAATTGTTTATAATCTGTTTTTAACTTGATAACTAGTGATGCAATGGAAATCAACCATTTTTATTTTGCATTTACAAATATAATACATTACAAAAATTATGAATGAGCAGACTAAAGCACCTGCTTAGGCAGATGCAGGGCCCAGAGTTCAAGTCCCGGTGTGCCCTGCTGGCCCCGCCCCCTGGGCCCGCTGAGATCCAATTGAGAATGAGTGCGGTGCTGAGCACCTGTACCCCCAGCTCTTGGGAAGCTGACCACAGGCTGATCACTATGAGTCCGATCTACATAGGGAGATCTTGTAGACCATGTAGACCCTGTACTAAATACAATAAAAAAATTACAAATGAAACAAATGTTATTAATCCCTTTATAGATAAACTCACAAGTTACTTTTGTAAGATGCATCATCTTAATTTCTTAAATCTTATTCATTATATTTCTTTTGTCATAAAGGTTACATCCTCAGCAAAACAACATCCTCAAATGTTTTTACCCTATTTACAATAGTAATATTTAAGTACATCATCATAGTCATCCCTCGAACATTGTCATCAACACAAATACACTCTATTTCCAAGTAAAAGGAGAACACTAACTATGTATTTTCTTTCTAGTTCTAGATAAATGAAACAGAATGAAAGAATGAGCAAAGTCAACATATTGCAAGTTCATGACTACACTTCAAATCTTATCTCATATACATTCAGGCTCTGTATATATAGTAGCATATTTAGTTAGGATTCTAGTCTATCAGGCTAAATTTGGCTCATGTTATTGGACAGAAAAAATATAATTTATCTCTAGAAGAATGACACTTCTAGAAGGAAGTCTTATGATTATTATAGATTAATATCAGCCATATATGACCTTACAAACCAAAAAGAAGTAAATCACAATTGACAATGTTATCAAAAAAAAATAGATGCAGAACCAGAAAACAATCAGATGCTAAACATTTAAAATAGAATTATAAAATTTTTTTAAAAATTTCACTTAAAGGAGTTTATTGATTCCCAAAAGGTAAATACAAGATAGAGAAGCTGAGCTATATGTTAGCAGTCATAAAAAAAATTGAAATTGACAGTTCACTAAATAATTGGGTATACTTTAATAAAGATAAATTGACTCACTATAAAGCCGATTACATCATAGGGTTGAATATTTATAAAAATGCAAAAATAATTACAAAAAAGTAAGCAAAAATTTAAACATAATCATGAAAAAAGTAACAAAGAGGAAGGAATATATTATATATTAATCATCTGTCTCATAAATGTGGGACAAATCTAAGAGCTATGCTTAAGATGAAAGGCTTAAACTCATAGTCGGTAATTATATGAGATAGAAAGGGAATAAATGGTGCAATTAAAACCTGATGAAAAGATTAAAAGCAGAGAAAAAAATCATACAACAGACACATACATTCCGCCTACCACTGACCTACTAAAATATGTTACACAGGGCTGGCTAGATAGTTTAGTAGACTAAGCATCTGCTTAGGCAAGCACAAAGCCCAGAGTTCCATCCCCGGCACCTCATGCCATGCCATCTCTGCCCCCTGGCCCACTGAGCTGGCCTCAGAGTGCAGGTGTGGTGGTGCAAGCCTGTAATTCCAGTGCTGGGAGAGGCTGAAAGCAGGAGCATCGCTATGATTCTGAGTTGCGTAGTGAGACCCTGTACCAAATAAATAATAATAAGAAGAAATATATATATATAACACAAATAATAAACATAAAAGAACAGGAAAATATAGCATGCAAACACAAATTTTAAAAAATGGATTTAGCTAGAATTACTTTCAGACAAAGTAGATTAACAGATAACTGCAAACTAAACTATCCCTGCAAAGCTCCAAAATTTAGTGGCTAAAACATAAACAAATTTGTGTTTTTATTTGGGAGCCCAGAGACCTCTTAACACTTTTATCAGTCGCAAACCCTTTTAGTCTAATTAGCTGTGTCTTCTTCTTCTTCTTCTTCTTCTTCTTCTTCTTCTTCTTCTTCTTCTTCTTCTTCTTCTTCTTCTTCTTCTCTCTCTCTCTCTCTCTCTCTCTCTCTCTCTCTCTCTCTCTCTCTCTATTTGGTACTGGGTCTTACATAGTGATCGTCCTGTCTCAGCATCCCCAATACGCGAATTATTTCAGATGTGCACCAAGAAGCCCAGTTTCGGTTGTTGGTATGGCTAACTGGGTTTCTGGGCCAGCATGGCATGTGATATCGGAGGGATCAAACTTGGGTCCCTGTACTTGCCAGGCAGGCACTTAGTTACCAGTGACAGGCATGAGGATTGTTTTTGCTGCTGTTAAAGAGAATTTTCTGGAGAAGGTCCCCTAGTGACCTTTCTAAAAATGGTCTATTAGTAGGAAATTGCCCTTTTGATATTCTCTTTCTATTTTCATTTTTTGATTTTTCTAATAGTGTCTTTGCCAAACCTTTTTCTTTTTTCTTTTTCTTTTTTTTTTTTTTAATTTCGGACAGTCTACAGGGCCTACAGGGTCTCACTACTAGATCGGACTCATAGGGATCTGCCTGTTCACAGCCTCCCAGGTGCTGGGATTACAGGCTCGAACCACCACACCCAGTCTCAATCACTGTCTCAGCAGGCCCTGGGAGCAAGGCCAGCACGGCAGGCCAGGGATCAAATTCCCGGCCCCTGTGCCTGCTTGCAGGCGCTTTAATCTACTGAGCTATTTGCTGGGTCCTTGGAACAGACTGTTTGAGCTAATTCTTGCCTCTGATTGATTTATTCTGCTGTTGGTGCCTTCTGTCAATGTTTTTAATTTTAGTATATTTTTCAAATTATGTTTGATTTTCAAAAATTGTTACTATTTCTCCATTAAATTTCTGTTTGTTTTTTGTTTTGTTTTGTTTTTGTTTTTTTTTGTTTTTGGGGGTTTTTTTTGGCAGAACCGGGGATTGAACTCAGGCCCTTCAGCTTGCCAGGGAAGCGCTTATTCCACTGAGCCATCTCCCCGGCCCTAAATTTCTGTGTTAGAGTCAAATAATTTTCCTGTGTTCTCTTAAAGTTCAGTGAATGTCCTTAAAACAAGTGTTTTAAATTCTACATTTGAAGGCCAGGCATGGTGGTAGACACCTCTAATCCCAGCACTTGGGAGGCTGAAGCAGGAGGATCCCTGAGAGTTTGAGACCTGGGCTACAAAGTGAGCTCAAGGCAAGCCTGAACTGCATAGTTAGACCCTGTCTCTAAAAGACAAAAACAAAACAAAACAAAAAAACTACATTTGAGAGTTTTTCCATATTTTTCTGGTCAGTTTTTGTTTTCTTAATTTGAAAATAAGGTTAGGTCATGATTGCCTGATACCTATCAATGTTTGCTGGTGTACAATCTCATTTGCATATTGAATAGTAAGGATATTTGTCCCAGTCTTTGCAATCTGGCTTCATGCCTGTTTTCCTTGAATTTCAAAGAGGCTGCTCATTTTCTCTGAGCCTGTAGTTATTTCTGCTAGTTCCGCTCAAATGGTACTATAAATCCAAATTGTGCTGCCAGTCTGCTGCTGCTGTTTTGTCACTATGACTAGAGGGCAATTCAAGTCAAGATTCCTCCCAAGTCTATAGCTGATGTGTTATTCAACATAAATTGAGGGAGAGACTAAAAATAGGTAATTTATTATAAGCCTTTCCCTGGGGCTAGGGTTGGTCAAAACACTTCATCCATAGCCACTGACCTATAGTCAACCATGTAGACCCTCAAGCTAGTTTTGGGTAGAACTACAATACATGGGAATAACCTCAAGACATGTGTGCTGTGTCTATGGCCAAGAATGTTAAATGTTGCATCATACACTGAAGCCACAACACCCTGACACCAGGACAAGTCCCTGTAAGACCAAGGAGCATATAGCTATTGGCTGCTTACTGCTAAGAAGTACTTGTGGCTCCAAACCAGTGCAGTCAGCCACAGGAAATGCCATCCATATTAGAAACTACAGACTGGAGCTGTGTTTTAATATTGGCATAGTTGTTTTATTATTGTAGATTTATGGTAGAAAATGGCAGGTAAAAAAAAAGAACTAGAAAATCCCCATTTTATCGAAGTCAAACATTTTAATAATTCATGATAAAGGAAAATATAGAAATTAGAAGCACATGTAGTTAATTAATATCAATATCATTAGCAAAGGTGAGGCCTTTCTTTTTATTGAAATATATATATATATATATATATATGATGCACAAATCCTCAGAAAAATATTAACAAATTAATGGAAGGATAATTCACATGATTCTTTCTATTGATGTTTATTAAAGTATATCATGTAATTCAAGAAGTGAGAAGAGTCCACTCACAGAGGAAGATTTAAATTTTGATTCCATTTATAAAAGTCAAAAACAATATCAATCTCTAGAAGTTGGGGAAGAGAATATACAGCCAACAGTGGTTGGGAAGAACCATAATGCACTCTTTGGGATCTTGAGTCTGGTGTATTTCTTGCTCTACATGCTGGTTAAGCATGTTTACATGCTTTGTAATATTTAATTGAGCTATACTTGTGTGCAGTGCTTCATAGTTTACAATATAAATCATTTTAGGAAATAAGTTCAACTTAATTAATCAAGCAATACAGAATTCAAAATGCTCCAAAATTCAAAGCCTTGTGAGTGTTGACATGCTTCAACACTTTTGACTTGTATCCACTTTGTATGCCATGTGCTTTTTTCAAAGGGAAAACTGCACCGAAATAATGGTATAAATGTGATAACATTTAAAATTAAGTATCCAAAATTATTTGAGAATATTTGTATCTCTCTTTGGTTTTATTATTATACAAAAACTAGGCACTGGGGCTTTTCACCTGGTTTCAGCTCCTGTGAAGGTAGATGGGTGAATGAATATCTGTTTAAATTAGTGCCATTGTAGGAATATAATTAATAGAACAACTTCACATGCTCTGCTCCTCAATCTCAAGTGTGTTAAACATTTTTTTTCTGTATTTTAGGGAAGGGTCTTCAGGGTCTAGGGTCTCACTACTAGATTGCACTGGTAATGATTCTCCTGTTTACAGCCTCCGAAGAGCTGGGATTACACGTGCGTGCCTCCACACCCAGTCTCAATCGCTGTCTCAGCATGCCGCGGGGGAGGGGCCGGCACTGCAGGCCCTGAGATAGAACCCCGTCCTCAGAGACTGCCTGCAGGGGCTTTAATCTGCTGAGCTATTTGACTGGCCTTCTATGTGTATTAAACCTTTTAAAAATCATATTTTAAATACCTTTATTAAGTCACTCTTTGTAAATCATTTTTAAATTTTCTGCATTTCAATTGAATGTAGTGTTATGGATACTTTAGAATCCAGCAATTGTATGTGTAAAAAAAAGTGATGTATTTATCACGTCTACTTTTTCTTAATAATAATCCCTCTTTTTCAGTTTGATCACATGGGGTCTGACATAAAGACTGTAACACAGAAGGTTATTGAGCTCATTGGCCTTGTTAATACTGTAAGTCTTAAAATTATTTTGTTTATATATTTGTAAAATATAGAATTTATGAACTGATGTGTTCTATTTTGCCTAGTTCTTGAAGTTTCTGTAATCAAAATATTTGTTAAATATATTTTATAAAATTGTATGCAATTTTCAAATTTTTAAAAAATTTCTCAATGGTTTTTCCTTTTAGATGCTTACCCAGTTAAAACTGACAGTTTTAATATCTTCCATTGAAATCTGGTCAAGTACAAACAAAATTACAACCACAGGGCATCCTGATGATATTTTATTTAGGCTTTTAGAGTGGAAACGTCAACGTACTGGTCTGAAACAACATCATATTTCATATTTACTAGTGTAAGTGTAGCATACTATGTCTTGTAACATTAAAGGAATCATATGAAATAATAGTATGTGAATTATTAAAAATAAGAATTTCCTTTGTATCCATTTTGTTCTACTATTTGACAGATATGGTTTGTGAAAAAAATGTCAAAAAGATTCTCCTCAAGGAGCTAATGTGAGGCAAACTTTAAAAACTTTTTATTAAGTAATGTAAAATTCACAAAAGAGCCAATATACACCAATATGCTTCTATTTACCAGTATTGTACCATACACTGAAAAATTTAAGAAGGAAAGCTGTGCTATCTGTTTCAACCACAATAAAATTTTTTAAAATAATTAAAAATGTAAAGTTTCATAGAAAGAAATGAAATAATGAAGATTTAATAATGGATGATATAATTTCATTTGGTTTATAATCTTTTATTACTTGTTATCAAATTTCTGTATTTCCTGTACCTCATCTAGTTGTTATAATTTTAATTCCAAATAAAATAAATATATTGAACTCTCATGTTCTCTAGAATCTAATGTGCGAAATATTTATTTTCAGTAAATAAATATTTATGTCATAGAAAATTGAATTTTTAGGGTTGAAATGTCGAGGAAACCACTATAAAAATATATGAATTATTTTAGCCTTTTTCTTTTGTTTTAGAGTGTTTATCTTTCAAAATTAATTTACTGAAATACATTTTAACACTGAAGGTGTAAGAAAATACCTACTATAATTCAGACCAGCATGATGCTTCTCTAACAGTAATCGTTCAGTAACATTTGCTGCTATGAAACTTACTACGCGGTCAGGTATATAGCTCAGTGGCACAAGTGCCTCCCTGGTGAACTCAAGGTCCTGAGTTCAATTTCTCACACAAAAAAATAAATTTAAAAAAGAAACTTATTAGTAATATGCACTGATGAGGAAAATTCTTATTTTTTAGTTTTGAGAACCATCCTACCTCTATAGGAGCCACATTTCCAAGAAATATATGTAATAATAATTATGCTTCAGGAGTTGCTCTGGTATGTAAACATTATGTAATTAACTGTAACTTTTCATGGTGTTAAATGTTCTAAGTTTTTAAAAGCATGAATAAATATATTTTTAGTTTACTCTTTGTTTTATAGCTGTTATATTAGTAATTTGGAACAAATTAAACATTTTATCATTGCCTTAATATAGAATATCTTCAAGCTGAACTGATCATAATATACTGGTTTTTAAAATAATGTTTTGGTTTGTAAATTAATTTTGTTTTGAACAATGGCATGCTATGCCATTGATTAAAGCACTGCTTAACTCTTCCTAATCTATAGTTTCATGGGAAAAGAAGAATAAATGTTACAGGGTCAACTTTTTTACAAGTTATATAATTGAGAACAGGGAATTAGTACTATCCTTTTTATTAGATAGCAACTGTAGTCTTAATGTTATTTATAAAACACTGATTAGTAATTTTTTTAATTATTGTTGTATATATAATGTACTTTATTAAATTCATTATATATCTTGTTTCTAGGTAATGTAAGATTCCTTATTGCGCAATGTGGAGGAGCAGACTGCTGTAGTGAAAAGCACTGATTAACTCTTCCTAATCTATAGTTTCATGGGAAAGGAAGAATAAATGCTACAGGGTCAACTTTTTTACAAGTTATATAATTGAGAACAGGGAATTAGTACTTCAGAGAAAGAGTTTTGCACTATAGTTTTTGTATTGACCTATTTGCTGTTATTTAGTGGCAAGTACAAAGAAACAAATTTACATAGCTGAATTACTAACATCTAAAACTAATTCTCAGGTGTCTTTGCTCTATTGCCATAAGAGATGTACAGATTCATTAACTGACTCTAAAACTCTCTGCGTGGTTATTTGTTGCCACAGTGAAATGATAACTGATGCTTCCTAGGGACTTGTTTCATCCTCACTCTTCACTTTTTTTCTTTCTGAACCAAGGATTGAGCAGAGCCATAAGAAATTGTTTTTGGATTTTTGCTACTATTGATAATGTACTTAAAAACAATATTTCTTGGCTGAGTTCTTTTTAATTGAATGTATGTATTTTTGCATGTAAAGTAAATAAAACATTCTAACAATTATTTAATAGAACTGTTGACATGTATGTTTTTTTGATGCCATTCTTCATACTTTAATTGTGAAACATATTTTTGTAATCAAAATTGGTAAATTGAAAAAACTAATCCATGAGTTAAGAATGTTATAAAATGGCAAATAAATATGAATACGAATCAATTATATTTTGTCTCTACTGGAAAGTTTGAAAATTACATTTTGTGAAGATATATGCCAATCATAATATAAAATGTTTTAAAAAATAATAATTTTCTTCAACATAGTCATTTCAAATGACTGAGTCCTTCAATCTTGTTGTTTGACAATATAGTATGTAATATGCACATAAATATATATTGACATTTTCAAATAAATTTTACAATCAGTGTATCCAGCTACATACATATAAATAATGAAAAAATGTGATAGGTGGATGTTGTTTAATTTGGAATGTTCTGACATCTTGACGATATTGGGTCTCTCAGTCTGCTGAAATGATTATTCTCTCCATGTTTTCAAGTCTTTTAAATATTTTCTGACATAATTTTATAGTTCTGAGTGTAGAAATTTTCTACATCACTGCATTTAGTCTTAGAAATTTTATGAGTTCTGATGCTATTGCCACTTGCATTGATTGTTCAATTTTATTTTCAGTTGCTAGTGGAAAGATATATATTTGGCATACATAATTGATTTATACATTGATGTATATGTCCTATAGTTTTGTTGAATTTATATATGCATTCAATTACATTTGTTATCCCTTTAGATTTTCAGTGTACAGAATCATTTTTGTCTATAAACAAACATAATTTTACTGATTATTTTTCTTTCCTTTTTAATTTCTTTCACTTTCAGGGCAATATTTAATAGACACGATGAGAAAAAACATCTTTTTCTCCCACATATATGGAGGAAATCTTCAATATTTTTTCAGGAATTAGGAATCTAAGTATGGTGTGTGTGTATGGGTTGTATGTATGTATATGTTGTTTCCCTCTGTCAAATAATAGAAATTTCATCCTGTTGTTTATCTGCTATGAATTAATGTCATAAATGACTGAATACTGTCAATGGAATTTTCTTCTTTTAACTGAGATGATTAGATCTTTTTTCCTTCTTTTCAGTAAACCTATAAACTACATAAGTAGATTTTTATTTTATTTGATTTTGATTTTTTTTATGTATTTATTACAAGGTCTGCAGGATCTCACCACACAGATCAGACTCGTAGTGATCCATCTGTTTTCAGCCTTCCAAGCACTGGAATTACTGGTGCGTGCCACCATGCCCAGTCTCAATTGCTGTCTCAGTGCACCATGGGTGTGGCGCTGGCACAGCACGCCTGTACAAGTTGACTTTTAAATTGGTCCTATTTTACATTCTTTATTGCAATTGACCAGAGTAGATTATTTTTTCATATTTATGGATTTTACTTGATACTGTTTTGTTAAGGTTTTATTTAATTTTTTCTTACATTGATTTCTCTTGTGATTCCTTGTCAGCACTTTTTGTACTAGGCTTATGATTGTTTTATAGAAGTATGAAACATTCACTTCTTTATGCAATAGTTTGCATAATGTTGATATTATTCCTGATTAAATTAACAAATTAAACCAGTCAAGCTAAATGAAGAGGCTTTCTTCATGGAAAAGTTTAAAATTAAGAAGACAATTCAGTTTATAGGAATAGTCAATTTATTTCTTTTTGTGCAGATCCTTATAAATTGTGGTTTTGTGAAAAAATGCATGAATTTCATTACTATGAAAAAGCTAGTACCATTTCCTCATGATATCCTCTTCTTCTGTGGTAGGATCTGTAGTGATGTTCTGCCCATCTGATTTTGAGATTGGTCTTTGTAGGGATTTATCAATTCTGTCAAATTTTTTAAAATGTTAAAACATGACTTGATTGTTTGGCTTTTTACTTTATTAATTTCTTTTGTTCATTAACATATTCTAATTTGCTGAGGTTGATATTGCTTTTTCTGTCTTAGATGTTATAGGCAAAATTTAAGATACTGGATCTTTTGACAACTTTAGGTGTATGTGTTTAAAACTATGAATGTTTTGTTACTATCATTAACTGTATCCTAGATATTTTCATTCTTATAATTAAGTTCAAAGTATTTTCTAATTTCTTTTCTTTTCTCATTTAGCTTGAGACAAGTGTGTTCTTAAATTTCCAAATATTTCTCAATGTAGTTATCTTTTTTTTTTTCTTGTACTAGGGATTGAACTCAGGACCTTGTACTTGCTAAGCAAGCGCTTACTATACTGAGCTATCTCCCTGGCCCCTGTAGTTATCTTTTGCTGATACTTTGTCATTTGATTCACTTTGTCACATAGTACATTCTGTACTATTGTATCCTTTGACATTTGTTGTGACTTTTTCATACCCCCAAGTAGGATCAATATCAGCTTATTTTTCAAATATGCATAAGCAGAAGCTATGTTCGTTATGTAGCTGCTAGATGTAATATTCTATAAATATTTACTATGCTGAGTTGGTCAACACTTTTAGGTATTTGTCTGCCATTAATAATCATTAAGATATTACTATAAGGCCATAATAAATGTCATTTTATATGTTTTCCTCATTAACTCTACAAATTTCTGATCCATGTACTTAGGTGCTCTGATTTTGATTGCAAAAATATGCAGAAATGTTATCTATTTTTTGGCATATCTGACCTTGTATCATTATAAGATCTCCCTCCTTTCCTATTACTCTTTCCTTTAAAGTTTGCCTTGCCTGATGTTAGAACAGCAACTTCACATTTACACTGACAGAATGGCATATTTTTCCACTTCTGCTACCTTCTTCCTCTATCAGGCTACATCTTTGATACCTGGTTTTAAAATCTATTCTGATAATCTTTGCTTTTAACTCAATTGTTTACCTCATAATATTTAATGTAGGTATTAAATTTGGTTATACAGATATAAATTAGTTATTTGTTTTCCATTTGCGTCCTTTTTTCTTTTTCTGTTTTAAACATGTCTTGCATTTTTAGGTTGTAATTAACTAGATGTGTTTATATATCAGTGTCGGTTAAACTATTATTATGCCAGTATATGTAGTTATTCCACATAAGTATTATTCAATTATACATCTTTTAGGTCCAAATGTAATTGTATCATAAAAATGCATTGAGATATATAAAATATATATTTTACAATTCCCATGATACAATAAACTTCTCCCTGAAAAGAAAAAATATATATTTAGTTTTACACCCTTTTTGTTTCAGTTTTTTTAGTTTTCACTGAAATTCCATTTTGTGTGTGTGTGTGTGTGTGTGTGTGTGTATGTGTGTGTGTGTGTGTGAACATTTGTGTAGTATGTAATGTTCACATTCCTTGTGGGAAGTTGGTATACATACGTAATAAAACTTAGTTTCTTTTTTGCCTCATTTCCCTTCCCTCCTTTTCCATCTACCTATCTCTTGATCCCTTTGCTTTTTGGATTTTGTGTTCTAATTCTCCTTCTTATGTGATGCTATATATCTTTGTTGAGCTACTTGTTATTAACCTATGAGTCATTGTGCATTCAGTTTACTTTTCAGGGGTTTTTTTTCTGTGATTCACTTGAGATAATTTTAAGTGCAGTGGTCCATTTTTCTTTTTCTTTTGTTATAAGAGAATAAAAAACAAGAAACAAAAAATAATAAATATGATACAAAATTTCAAAGTGAGATGGTAGGAAATTAATGACGTTTATTAGATTGCATATTGTTATCTTCAAAGAAGTTGTTCAGATGATCAGATATAGGTATGCAAAACTGATCAAACAATTATTCATTAACTGTTCCTTTCAATAAACCAGTAGAAATTAGTAGTACAATTGTCTTAGCTAGTGTGTGTGTGTGTGTGTGTGTGTGTGTGTGTGTGTAGCCTTTTTCTTCAAATAAGTTTTCTTGGTACTGGGAATTGATCTGAAGACCTTATGCGTACCAGATGGTCACTGTGCCACTGAGCTATATCCCCAGCCCTTAGTTACCCATTCTATAACAAGCTCTTAAGCGCATCAAATAGGCTTTATATTTCAAACACCATGCTTTTTTTTTGGAACAATCTTCCTTTTAATGAAGAGAAGTAATATTTCTAGCTTCCAAATTACCTGCATTGTTTTTTCCCATAATTTTATTGATAAACAAATAGTAATGAGACAGTTTCAAATCAAATTGGTAGGACAGTTTCAGTAATTAACACATTGCATACATTCTTCCTAGTGCTTAATTGCTGTACAAGATGCGGATATGATGTCCTATTTACAACCACCATTAGAACAAATCCCTCTATTCATTAAGAGAATGTAACCATATATCTATCCTAACCGCTTTGAATACACAGATACAAAATGGACATTCATCTGTATCCCCTTTTTTTGTTAAGTTCCGTTATTTGAATATTATAAAACACCATGCTTTTTAATTCCAGAATTCTGAATTGGTTCTATTTTACAAAAAATTAATAAAAAATTCAAAATACTGTATTAAAATATGATTAATGCAAAATTAAGTTATGTATGTATTAAGTATATAGAGCTTGGTGAATTTGTAGCTAAGTACACACCTGTGAAGCCATGACTACAGTAAATGCAAAATGCATTCATCACCTCCAAAAGGCTCTTTCATCCTCTAGTATTGTTAGCTTATGATAATACTTACATCTATAATAAACTTTTACCTCTTAGGTAAGTCTTAAATGCACAACACAGTACTGTTACTCACTGACACTATCCTGTAGAGTAGAGCTTTAGAATATACTCATCTTCATAACTGAAACTTTATTTTTATGTATTTAGTACAGCGCCTACAGGGTCTCACTACATAGATCCGACTTGTAGTGACCCTCCTGTTTTCAGCCGCCCAACCACTGGGATTACAGGCACGTGCCATCATGCCTGGTCTCAATCGCTGTCTCAGCGAACCCCGGGAGTGGGGTCCACACAGCACACTGGCAATAGAATCCCAGTTCCTGCATCTGTCTAAGCAGGCACTTTAATCCACTGAGCTACTTGGCCCACCCAAAACTTTGTATCTTTGATCAACACTATTTAGTTTCTTCTTTCATCTACCTCTCAAAGGATTCTACTCAGCTTGCCTATTTATTTTATTTTTCATGTCTGTTTGCTTATGTATACATGATCACATTCAGAGTGGCAAGGTGGGTACACTCACAAGATGCATCTTAATCTTTTCTACTTCCCCTTGCCTTTCTTTTTCTTTCTTTCTTTCTTTTTTTTTTTTTTTTTTTTCGGAACCAGGGGTTGAACTCAGGCCCCTGAGGCCCCTGCACTTGCCAGGGAGGCGCTTAATCCACTAAGCCATCTCCCCGGCCCTGAGCCATCTCCCTGGTGCCCCTTTGCCTTTCCTTCTCTCTGCCTCCCTCCATTTCTAGCTCCCCTTCTAATTTGTAAAGCCTCCTATTTCCTGTTACCTATTTTTTATCTTGCTCTTCAAATTATTTATACTTTTGGTTTCCATATAAGAGAAACCATGTGATAGTTAGGATTGTGTATCGTATTATTTTGCTTTGACATTATGATCTCAAGGAGCATCCATTTTTCTGCAAAGTGACTCAAATTTTCCTTAATGATGGCTGAATAGAACTCTGCTATGTATAAATATCACATTTTCATTATTCATTCCTCTGCTGATGGACATATAAGTCAATTCCAAGATTTAGTACGAGTTGTATAGGACTCTGTTGGTCTCTTGGTGTATTCCATGAAGAAACAGTGGTAAGAATGAGGGTAAGATAAACAAGCAGACAAGAGCTGGGTCAGGCTGTGGTCTTTGCCTAATTGGCAAAGACCCCAAGAACAACAGTGGGGGTGTTTATTTATACCTTTGCAAAGTTAGCATCACATGACAAAAGGTTGCCTAGTGACTAATAGCTGATATTAACCAGGCAGGATGCTTTCTCAAGACTGAGGTAGCTTGATTGTTTTAGGGCCTGAAGTCTCATCCTGCTCTCATACATTTGACCAATTTCCAGCTTCAGGGGCTCCCAACAGAGTTGTGCTGCCATAAAAGTGGGTATGCAAGTATCACTATAATACAGAATACAGAATCTGTAACTCTTTTGGGGAGATACAGACAGGGATAGATAGATTAGATAGATTGTGTGTGTGTGTGTGTGTGTGTGTGTGTGTGTGTGTGTGTGTGTGACGTTGGGGATTGAACTTGGGACCTTGTACTTGCGAGGCACATGCTTATGTCACTGAGCTGTGTCTCCAGCCCGAGGCTTAGCTATATTGAATGGAATTTCTACTTTTAGTTTGTTTTTTTTTTCATTTTTAAAAAATAATTTTATTGAGAAACAAATAGCAATGAGACAGTTTCAAAACCAATTAATAGAACAGTTTCAATAATTAATACATTGCATATTGTTCTCTTAGTGATTATTCATAGTACAAGATGCAGACATAATATCCTGTCCATAAACACTATCAAAAAAATCTTTCTATTTGTTGAATTAAGAGAAAAGTAGCTGTATATCTATTCTAACTATTTTGAATAGACAGATACAAATGGCCCTTCATTTATATCCCTTTTTTTGTTTAGTTTTGTCATTTAAATGTTTTTAGAGTCTAATGTGTCTTTTATTTTTTTTCCATAATTTTATTGAGAAATAAATAGTAATGAGAGAGTTTCAAATCAAATTGGTAGGACAGTTTCAGTAATTAACACATTGCATACATTCCTCCTAGTGGTTAATTGCTGTACAAGATGCAGACATGATATCCTATTTACAAACACTACTAGAACAAAACCCTCTATTCATTAAGAGAATGTAACTATATATCTATTCTAACCATTTTGAATACACAGATACAAAATGGTCATTCATCTGTATCCCCTTTTTTTGTTTAGTTCTGTTATTTGGATATTATAAGTGTGTTAACTCAGCAAAATATTCTAAAAGAGTCCAGTAGTCCATAATGCTATTGCCGCTTCACTAGCAATGTCAGAAATTCTAGACCTGAGTCCTCTATAGCTCAACATAACACCATGGCTTTACTTCTTATACTTCATTTTTATATTTTTCTGCTGGACAGTTAAGACCAAGATAAAGCCAGACCTTTGCAACAAGAGTTGTAGCTTTGGGGTCTGATAAGGTCAATGAAATCCCCTCAGGATTTATCCTGAGATCCTGTACCTCCAATTGTAAATCCTTTGTCAGTGTCAGCCATGTAGATGAGTCATGGCCATTGCTTGGCCAATGTGCTCTCTGTGAAAGCCTAATTGTTTTCTGTCCATGTGACTCTCCTTAGGCACACTCTACATCATCCATCACTTTCTTCTTTGGCCTCATAATCTCCTTGATCAGAAAATTTGGGACACTACCAAGTTGCATGACGTTACACTACAAGTTCTCGTATGTCCAAAGTCTTAATTGACCTTGGAAGGCTAGGGCCAAAATGTTGGCTTTCCTTGCGGCCCTCCTTTCTCCCTAATTTTGGTCTGCAAACTTAGGTTGTTAACCCTCAAGAAGAGAACTTTATGATTATTACTATACAACCTACGCTGTTAAGCTTAACCTCACTATTTGTCTGGATATCAAACATCTTAGGCACAACATGGAACAGGTATTTTTCATCAAGTATTGATATGTTGAACTTTAAGTTTCTACAAAATATGATGAAAAAACATTTAAAAATTAGAATATATTTAAAAAATAGGCATAAAGAATTATATAATTCTTATGTTTACATGTAAATCCAAAAATCTAACCATATTCAAGCTTGAAGCAGGACAGTCCTACAACATTCCTTTTCCTGTCTCCTGCCTTCATTCACCACCCCCTTCTTTTTGAACAATCATCTACCCTAGAGACAGCACAGCAGCAACTGGCATGTCATAACTACTTTTAGTTTCTTGATGAATCTGCATACTGATTTTCGTAGTGGTTGTACTAGTTTACATTCCCACCAACAGTGTAGAGGGGTTCCTTTTCTCCTACAGCCTCACCAGGAGGTAGCTATTTGATTCCATATAATGATTATTTAATATTAGAAATGATAGTTGTTTTCTCTTCCTATATGACAACACTGCATCTTCTGAGCAGAATTGTTAAAAGAAAACAGAATTTTGAAATAACATGGTGGGGAATAATATCTTTTGAGAGTATTGCTGTATAAGTAACTAAAACAAAACTTTTAGCAAATAAGAAACAGCACAGTTCTGTGAATCAGGAATATAGAATCAGCTCTGTGGGTGATCAACACCTAGACTTTCTTACAAGGCTGCTGTAAATGTGCAAGTAAGGGTTCAACCAGGTGACAGTCTTCATGCCCAGTCATGCAGCTGTTGACCATTTTCAACTTGTCATTAAATAACAGTATTTTTAAGTTAACTGCTACATTGACTCATCCATGTATTCAAGTTTATTATCAAATATTTAACTGTACTACAGGTACATTCATTATCTAATCAGTACACTAATTTTTATTAGACTTAATATTGCTTTATTTTATAGCTGAATACAATAGTTAATGTTTTCTTTTTTTCTTTCTATTTAGTATCCAGTTGGTCTATCCCTGGAGTCATATGCTGTCATTATTGTACAGTTGCTTGGCCTTAATGTAGGATTAGTTTATGACAATACTGACGCCTGCTACTGTTCAGCAGATATTTGCACAATGACGCCAAAAGCAGTGTAAGATAATTTTCTTTATTAAGTACTTTGATCTCTTATTTGTTGTTAGTTTTGTGTTTTATTAGTAAGATTAATTTAACTAGCAGTGGTAGAGCACTACCACTAAGTAACTTCAGAACACATTTTCTTTTCAAATGCGAAGGGAACACATGCCAAAACAGGCATAGCACTCTTTATGGGGAAACTTGTCCTCATTCATATATTCCAAATCTGAATTTTGTTGTTTTTTTCTGCTGACTAGCTGGATATCTTCAATAATCAAGTCGTATAATTTACATAGTTTTAATGTTGATAAAGGATCTATTATGAAATATTGATGAAATGAGTTGAAAAAGACATAAATGAAGATCTAAGCCATGTCAATAAAATGCTTATTAAATTATCCATACTAGGCAAAGCAATATACTGATTTTATGCAATCGATATTGAAATTTCAATGTTGCTTTTCCAGAAAATTAGACAAATATCATAAAAATTGCATGGAATTAAGAAATCTGGAGCAGCCAAAAGAATCTGGAGCTAGAAGAACAAAACCAGAGGCTTCATGCTGTCTGTTATCAAACGTATTGAGAATATATACTAATCAAAACAGTGTCATAGAGGCAAGAAATGGACACAGTAAATAATTTAATAGATTAGAAAGCTTAGAAATAAAGTCACACATGAAAGTTCATTTGTTTTTTTAATTTTTGAAAAAATGTTTTTGATTGCTATATGTGAAATGTGGCATTATCACAAATTGTAATATTTCAATATACATGTGCATTAGTAATAATTAGTAATAATGAAAATCAGGGTAATGAGCATGTCAATAGCCTTCAGTACTTACCATTTCTTTGTGGTCAAACATTGAAAATCCTCTGTTAGTTATTTGAAAGTGTACATTATACATCATTGTTGCTATTTGGAATAGAATTTCAGAACATATTTCATCTATGTGAGTGTAACTTCACCTACACTGACCAGCTGTTTATCCCTCCTTTCCCCTCTGCCCTCTCCAGCCTGTGCTAGTCATTGCTCTACTCTCCACTTCTATGAGATGGACTCTTTTATTATTTCACACATAGTGGTGAGATTATGAATGATTTGCCTTTCTGTGCCTGGCTTTCACACAACATAATGTCCTCAAGGCTCATCATGATGTCATAGATGATGGAAATTCATCTTTTTAGTCATACCTGAGTAGTTTTCCCTATGTATGTATGTAATATGTTTTCTTGATTTGTGCAAGCACTGGATACTTATTCTGTATCTTGACTGTTATGAAGGGTGCTGTAATAAATGAGTTTATCTCCTAAATACATAAGCCTTCATTTCCTTTGTATATATACCTGGATCTTACATTTATGGGTCACATGGTAATTGTATTTTTAATTTTTTGAGGAACCATCATACTGTTTTTCAAAATGATTAATAATTTGAATTCCTACCAGTGGGTATAAGGATTTTTTCTATATCCTTACCAGCAATGTTATCTTTTGTTGTTTTTCTTTTTCTTTATTTTTAAATTTTTATGCAATATTTGTTTATATTCATCATGCATGTTATGATATTGTGATTTGTGTATATATTGCATATTGATCAACTCTGAGCAATTGACATGCCCATCACCTTAAACTTTTCTTGTTTCTTTCTGGTAAATACATTCAAAATCCTCTCATCTATTTTGAGATAAATAATATCTTGTTTTAATTATACTTGCTGTGTTGTGCTAGAGAACACTAGCATTTATTCCTTCTGTAAAGTTATAATATTGTATTTATTGACTTTTTGCTGGTCTCCTTTCCTTTCCCTTAGTCTCTTTAGCTTTTAGTAACCACTATTCTCTCAACTAAAGATAAATGTCTTTATATTCTACATATGGGTGAGTTGACTTGGTATTTGTATTTCTGTGTCTCATTCATTTCACATAACACAGTGTAGTTTGAGATGATCTATCTTGTTACACATGATTTGATTCATGCTTTTTATGGATGACAGTATTTCATTGCATAAATTAACTATATATTCTTTGTCCATTGTTGATGAATATTTAAGTTGATTCCATGGCTCTTTAAACATAACTGCTTAAGGTTACTAGGCTGGTAACCTTTTAAAATGTTTTAAGTATTACAGAATAGTAAAATTTCAAAACAAAATAGAATAAAAACAGTTAATATGCTATGTTATTATTTTCAAAGCAGTTATTCAGAGTATGAGGTTCAGACTGCAAAGATTTTTACAAAAAGAAACAAGCAGTAACACAGTAACTTCCTTTTCCACAACCTAAGTTAAACCAATAGTATAAATGAAAGAAATTACCATTTAATTAAAATATTTTTGAAACATGAAATATGTAATTTAAGGAAGTATTTGAACTCCCTATTTTCTATTTCTTACTCTTCTGTTTTTCTCTTTACTTTCATACTTATAGATCTGCATTTTTCACATAACAGAAACAATCAAATATTTTATCTTGTTTATCTCACTTATTTCACTTAATATTATGTTCTCAAGTGTTTATCTATTTATCTGTGAATTATCTTTCTTTACACCAGCATACCACTCCATTGTGGATAAATACATTTTCCTCATTAATTCATCTGTTGATGGGCATGTATGTTTTCCCAATATATAGCTGTTATGTATTGTGCTGTTATAAACATGGATATGCATGTATCCCTGACATATAGTTATTTTTTGGAAGATACTAGGAAGGTGGATAGCTGAGGCAAATGGAATTTTTATTTTTAGCTCTTGGAGGACTTTCCACACTGATTTACAAAGTGGTTTGACTAGTTTACATACCCCTCTGTCATGTAGAAATGTTCCTTTTTTCCCCACATCCTTGCAAATATTTGCTTCTAGATTTTTTTGATGATGGCATCTGAGGTAAGATGGCACCTCAGTGTAGTTTTACTCTGAATCTTCCTAATGGTCAGCCATGATGAACACTTTTTCATGTATTTATAGGCCATTTGTACTTCTACAGAGAAATACCAATTCATTTCAGTGGCCTATTTTTTGATTGGGTCTTTTATTTTTGAGGAGAATTTTAGTTTTATTTCTTTATATATTATTTGTGTTAGTCCCTCGTCAATGGAATAGATGACAAACATTTTTCCCATTCTTTAGATTCTCACTTCACTTTGTTGGTTGTTTTTATGCTATTTAGAAGTTTTTTAATTTGATAGAATCATCTCATTTGATGATTCTTGGTATTATTTCTTGTGCATTTGGCTCTGTTCAGAAACTCCTAGTCTATGCCTGTCTTCAGGAGGTTTTATCTTTCAGTAGATTGTTTCTGCCTTAACATTTAGATCTTTGATCGATTTTGATTTTCGTTTAATTCCTGGGGAGGTATATGGATATAAACTCAATCTTTTGCATGTGGTATCTAGTTTTCCCAGCACCATTTATTAAACAGGCTATCTTTCCTCCACTGTATATTTTTGGCTTTTTTTGGCAAAGGTTAAATAGTATCTGCTTGGGGTTGTTTCCGCTTATTCTATTCTGTTCCATTTATTCACAAGCCTTTTTTAAATGCCAATACCATGTAGTTTTAATCACTGTGGCTTTATAACATAACAAGTCTGGAGTTGTAATGCCATCCACTTTGCTTCTGTTACCCAGGATTGCCTTTGCTTCCCTTGGTCTCTTCTGACTCCATATAAATTTTAGGATTGCTTTCTCCTGCTCTGTGAGATATGATGGTAACAGTTTGATTTGTATTGCATTAAATTTGTATATCGGTTTTGACAATAAAGACTACTTGTTTAATGACTGACTTCCAGTCCTATGACTAGGTTGTAAATTTGTTGCTAAATGATGAATTGTAGGTAGTATGTGCATTGCAATATCAGAATTAACAAAAAGTCAAAAGAAGCTCCAACCTAAAGATTTTGCTTTTGGTCATATAGCTTAATCTTCACTACTATAATATATAACAGAGTATAAAACTATAACTCTTTACTGAAAATATAGCCATAAAAAATTACAGTATTATATAAACAAAATATATGCTACAGAAAGAGAGAATGCTGTGCATTCTCTTTGTACAGCAACCTCAACAAGAAAAGATGGGTTTTAAGTCCAGGTGGTGGACTGAAGTCATTAAATGAGGACTATCTGTATAGCCATTTTGGTTATGTTATGCATAACATAACAAGAGGGGAATAGAAGGTGTCTCTCTGTTTTCTGATGTCTTTGCTTTTTTTTTTCAATGTGATGTTATTTTCACGGTAGAAGTCTTTCATTTTTCTTAGGTTAATACCTAAGTATTTAATTTTATGCTATAGTAAATGGTATTTTCCTAATTTATTTTTCAGTGAGTTTTGATTACTAGTGCATAAACATTCTATTGATTTTAATGTGTTTAGCTTGTATCTTACTACACTGCTGAATTCCAGGAGTCTTTTGATATTTTTCTGGGTCTTGTGAATAAAAGATCATGTCATCTGCAAATGATATTTTGACTTTGTCCTTTCCTATACATATCCATTTTATTCCTTTCTTTCGCATGATTGTTCTGGCTAGTGTATCAAGGGCTGCATTCAACAGGAATAGAGATAATAGATATCTTTGTCTCATTCCTGATTTCAATTGAAGGCTTTCAGGTTTTTATTATGATATAAGCAGTAGATTGACCATAAAAGGACTTTATTATATTGAGAGAAAATATTTTATACCTAGTTTCTCCAGGGTTTTATTTTTTAAGGATTCTGTACTTTGTCAAGACCTTTTCTGCATGTACCATATTTATCCAAAGGGAATATTGGGTCTTACCTTAACTTTTACTCCAAAAGATGAAATAGGCCTTATTTCAGACAATGTCTTATTTTTAATGGACAATAGTCTATATTTACTCTGTATTGACGTCTATATTTATTTTTAGTTTTTGTTTTAAAAAGAAAAAACACAAATAGCAATGAAACAGAGTTTTGAATACAATCACGCCATCTTCTGGAACACCACCACAACTCTCTAACCCCAGAATTCCAGCCTGAATTTCTTGTCACTGTATATGTATAATGGAGATATCTTTTGAACATATAAATTATAAGGACATGAGCCTTTGCATATTATTATTTCTGAGATTTGAGATACAGAGAGTCATGGGAACAGTTCTTTGCAGATATTAAAGGGTCACCTGGACTATGCTTTACAAAAACATGGTTTATATGACCAAAAATTCTTGGAATACATTAGCTTTTAACTTTTCATTAATGAGATTATAAAAGCATGCTACACCATATCAATTTCATCAATATTTCTAAAAGTGTTCTTATTATTTCCCACATAGAATGTTTTTGAGATCTTTCTTCAAAATATATTAAAAGATATGTAGAGTTTTACACCAATAATTTTTGTTATGTCCATATTTTATATTTTAGGTACTCTGGGGGTTTAAAGGATTTTAGCACTTGCAGCCTGGATAGCTTTAAATCTTTTGCATCACATGGCCTTAGTTGTCTTAAGAACAGTCCTCAAGATATGCCAGTTTATAAACAGGCAAGGCCAAGGAAAATTTGTGGCAATTCAATAAGGGAAGAAGGTGAAGAATGTGATTGTGGCACTGCACTGGTTAGTAGAAATTTTTCTTAATTTCTTATATGTGTATATAGTAAGAAAAATGATGTACCAATTTTGTCTTTCAGTGAAACATATTTGAAAAATATAATGTTATTTTGAAAAGGTATAAATCTTCATGTCTTATAATTTTATTTTTGCAAGTGAGTGTATGGGTTTAAAAAGTAATGTTTACCTTCAAAAATTGCTTTATGTCATTATCTAGTGGAAATATCAGCTAACAAGTTGATGACTGCCAAGACTCACTATCTCAATGCAAATGGGAAGGGGAACAAAGGAAAGGGCAGGGGAAAGGAGGAAGAGATAATTAAAAATGACAGAATAGAAGGAAAAATAAAACAAAGCTTTGGTCAATAAGGAGGGGAAGAAGAGCTGAAGGGAGATAAGGAGAAAAAAGAAAAAAACCAAGTGTATCGTGTATAGGCACAAACTCCCTATGGTGAATTTTATCATTGTCTATATCTGAAATGTACCAACAAAATAAAGCCACAAAAAGAAAAAAAGTTAATGCAATATTCTCTTTATAACTAGGAGAAACAAAAACACCTAAGATGTCCAAACACAAAGGATTGTTCCAATAGAACAATAAATTGTATTGTTTGCTAATATATGGAGAAAAATATTTTAACTGCAAATTATACCAATTCAAAATTTCTAAAAATAAATAGGTATCTCTTGTAGGAAATATAAAATATCATCAAAATAGAAATAAGTTTCTACTGTACTGTACTATTTTGAAAACAAAGGCACTGCTAGAGTGTTGCTGTTCTCAGACCCATGAACCACTTCATCCCTTAGGCCTTTTCATCACTGATACTTACTACATAGACACAGTAAATAATATGTTGTCTCTCTGCTGTCTGGAAATGAGCTACCTAGCAGACAATTATCTCCCAATGCTAGTTGCTGCTTTGCCTTTCCCCTGGCTCCTCAGAGTCTAGGCCCAGCAGCGTAGCAGTGACCCCACATTCCTGAGTTGATGTGGCATCTTTCCTACCATAAACTGAGTTTTGTCAAAGCCGTGCCACTCCACTGTGTGCTGAGCAGCTATAGTGTCTGACGTTACTGGTTCTGGACTAGCCCGTTACTGGTTCTTGGACTAGCCCGCCACAGTCTTGAGCTGCTTACTGTTTAGCTACCTTTCTGCCCTGGGTAGTAGAGCCATTAGTTAACTGTTCCCTGACCACAGAGGCCCTGATGATCTCTGAGCACTAGCATTCCTCAGTACATATGCAGCATTCAACTTCAGAGAGCCTGGGCCACCTCTTCATGGTCCAAAATCTTCATTACATGGTACCTCTTTTCCTAGGGTCCAAGTGTCTATTGTCCTGTTGGCTCCAGAATTTGAAGTATAACTGCATCCTTCTCTCTAGTGCTGACCCTTAGAAATACTGCTCTTCCCTGGAGGAAGGAAGTGCTCTCACCATAGGGGGCAGAGTCACAGCTGCATCCTTGCCTGCGGGACTGAGATTCAGAGGAGAGTCCCAGAGCCATCGTCCTAAGAGACCTTTGCCTACCCATGCCCTAGAGCATAAACCTACATCTGTGTCATAGGTATACCTATGCAGGGACTCTGGTTTAATCCCTGACACCACCTGCAGTGCCAGCCCTGCCCTAGGGGTGGTCTGAGCCAGCCACAAAACAAACAAACCTCCTGGTGAGGATGTGGGAGTGAGGAGCCCTCTGTACTGTTTGGAAGAATATAAATTAATAAGTCACTATGTAAGCTTCTCCAAAAAACAAAGAACCACCATATGACTTACCTGTCTTACTCCTTGGTATCTATGTGACGGAATTAAAGTGAGCATACTATGTGGAGGCTTACACCAGCAGATGGAATCAGCCTATGTCATCCACAGATGAACAGATAAACAAAATATGGTATTACCAGGGAGATAAAATTATGTCATTTACAGGAAAATAAATAGAAGTGAAAATATTAAGCAAAATAAACTAGATTTTAAAGTTATGTTTCCCCAAGTAGAGCAATCTAAAACGACAAATGCCAAAAATAACAATGATGACATGAAAGTAGAAGGAATACTATCAATAGACTAGAGTAAGGGAATTTAGGAAAAGCACAGAAAGGTATAAAGTATGTAATGGGATAAGTATGATCAAAATATATTCGTAGAAATTAGGTGTGGTGGCTTATGCTATAATCCTACCATTTGAGAGGCTGAGGCAGGAGAATCCTTGTGAGTTTGAGGTCAGCTTGGGCTACATTATGATTTCAACACCAACCTGAGGGCCAGTATGATAGCTCAGCAGACTAAAGCATCTGCTTAGGCAAAGCACAGTAGCCTGGATTCAACGTTGGGCATGTTGTGCCAGAGGCGTCTGCATGGTGCACTGAGACAGTGATTGAGACTGGGTGTAGTGGCACGCTCCTGAATCTCAGCACTCAGGAGGCTGAAATCAGGAGAATCACTACGAGTCCAATCTATGCAGTGAGACCCTGTAGACCCTGTCCTACATACATTTAAAAAAGACCAGCCTGAACTACATAGTGAGGCTGTCTCAAAACAACTAAAAAAAGTTATATGTATGTATAAAACTAAAAAAATTAAAAACTTTGTCAGCTAATGAATATTAAGTCAGAAAGGAAGAGAGGGTTTAATATTCACTACTTTGTTTTTAATGTAAATAACTTTATCAAAAATACGTAGTCCAACTTTTAATAATAGTTCTGTTAGAAGTAAGTCTACAAAATTCCTGAAAATTTAAAATTGGGCCCTAAGAACTAGAATAGGCCAGTTCTAGATGCTAGGACAGATGGCAGCTCTAAATTTAAAATCGCCCAATTAATAATCATTAATAATCTGGCAAATTAATAATCATTCTAAGAGACTTTGACCCATATGTGGCAGTAAACACTAAAATTTTTAAACATTATATGCAATACTGAACAGCATAATTTTAAAGTGACCTAATTCAAATATGGAGAGCATTTCCCTAGAACTACTGAGTACACATTATTTTTAACTGTAAAACTTATAAAAATTATTAAGGCAATTTTGACAAATTTCAAGGGATTAGCATTACCTAAGAAGACTTTCTGTGTAAATTGGTAACTTTTGTGAAAACACTTGGCAATAAAAATACTAAATATTTTAGGAACTTATCCTAATCTTTGTCAGATATTTCTGGGTCAAATATTAGACCTAAATATTACAAGACACAGTCTAGGTAAAATTTATTATGTTTTTTTTTTATATGTTTGTTTCTTTTTTTGAGACAAGTTGTCACCAGTCTTGAACTCATTGTGTACCCCTGGCTGACCTTGAACTTACAGCAATCATTCTGCCTCAGTCTCCCAAGGGCTGGGATTAGAGGCATGTTCTACAAGCCTGGAAGAAGTTTCCTATACTTTAGAAGTAGCTATTTTTTTAACTTTACAAATAATAGGTGAAGACATAATTAGTGTAGAAAATTTTAATATTACACATAATAACACAATTCGCTCTTGGGAATATTGAGGGTTCTCAGTGTTATTAGTTTGTTATATATCTTCTGAGGCCTTTATTGTATATTTGTCAATCTGTGTCTATGGAATGGGGGATAATTATGTGATGAGATACTGGACATAAACAACATAATATCCTATGCATTTTCTGCAATTTACTTTTATTCCTCAATAATATTGCCATATATATTCTGTATCTTTACCAACAAGTACTAACACATTGCATTAAAGCTATACATCAAGCATATTAAGATAGCTAGAAAATCCCTAATACTTGCAAAGTGAATAAAAGTCACTTCCAAATTACCTATGCACAAGAAAATAACTCTGAAGATTAGATGAAAGGTAATAAACATTTGTTCTCACAAATAATTGTTTGCTCATTTTGGGAGGCTACTATAAATCTGAGATTAAGAAATCTTGACACTCATTGTGAGCAAGGAACATTACAGGTCATACCCACTCCTGAACTTAGATGCAGAATATTGTAACAATATTAGCAAGATAAATCTGGGATTATTTCATGCATGTAAAGTTAACTTCATATTTGATAATCAGTTATTCCTGCTCATTATGGTAAAAACAACTTACAAAACTGATATAATAGTTACAATATATAAATTAAAAATATTTCAAAAATTACACATTTTTTTCATAAATTCTACAGAGTTGTGCTTCATAATAGAACATTCTTCATAATGGAACCGTGCTGTGCCCAGTACATGGCCTCCTTAGGCACATGTGGCTAAAGCACACTTGGAATGTATCTCATGTGACTGAGTAATTAAACTATTAATTTCATCTAATCTTAGTTCACTTAGATTTTTAAATAACTACACATGACTAGTGTCAACCTACTGGTGTAGTTCTAGAATGTCTAGTTTTTCATCTCTTCTAACGAGGTGAAGTGGAAGAATTGAGAAAAGGGGCATTTGTAATAAAAATTTGCCATTTTTTAAAATTAATTTTATTGAGAAACAAATAGCAATGAGACAGTTTCAAAACCGATTACTAGCACAGTTTTAATAATTAATACATTGCATATTGTTCTCTTAGTGGTTATTCACTGTACAAGATGCAGACATGATATCCTGTCCACAAACACTACTAGAACAAATCACTCTATTCATTGAATTAAGAGAATGCAGTTGTATATCTATCCTAACTATTTTGAATATACAGATACAAAATGGTGGTTCATTTGTATCCCCCTTTTTTTGATTAGTTTTGTCAGAGAGGGCATTCCATTGTCATTTAAGTATTGTAGGTACGTGAATTCAACAAAATAATCCAATATAGTCCAGTAGTCCTTAATAGTAGTGGGTTTTGCGTAAGACTGGCAATGTCCAAAGTTGTTGACTTGAACCTTTTACAGATCAGCATATTAATATGGCTTCACTTTTTATACTTCATTTTTATACTTTTCTGCTGGATGGTTAAGACCAAGATAAAGCAAGACCTATATAACAAGAAATGTAACTTTTGTATCCGACAAGGTCAGTCAAATCCTCTCAGGATTTTACGGGCAATTACTAAGTTGTTTTAAACTTGGGATTTGTATGTACATAATCTAATTGATAATATTTAATAAATAAATTGCAAATATAAATATGAAATATAAAAATGTTTGATGGGAATGTCACTAACAAAGCATCCAATTTCCTCTAGGTTCTTCTTCAGTGTGTCATTATTATTCAAACTATATAGAGTGTCAAGAAACATTTCATTTCCAATTCACAGAATGAGATATTGACTTTTATAAATCAAATACTGTACAATATTAAAAATAATGGGTTTACTGAATCTGTGAATGCTGTAGCTATATTTTATAAAGTCAGGCATTATGATCTTTTTATGGCACTGAAGCAAATATGATTAGCTAACATTTAGCTTTTTCTTATAGAATTGTACGCATAAAAAATGCTGTGATGCTAAAACATGTAGGAAAAAACCTAATGTAAAATGTGGCTCGGGAGCATGTTGTACAGAAGCTTGTGAGGTAAGAGACAATCTGTATTTGGTAGCAGTGTAACATTCAAGCTTCTTAAAGTGTTTCAAGAAGATGGAAAACATATCAGCACCCTACTAAGCCCTTTCCACTACATCAAAATCATGCAGAATTGGACCAATTCCACACTTTATCCAGCATCCCAACATATCTTATATTATTGTGTCCATAATGTCTGATACTTCTTTCTCATCTTGACATAAATAAGCATCACAAATGCTTAAATATATAGGCATTACAAATCTTCCTCTGTAGTCTATAAAGCATTTTACAATCAATATATCTCTACAGCAATATTTTTGTAGTCATCTTCAATTAGTGTAACTTATAAGGAGGGGGTAAGGAAGTCAGGGGTTTTTTATAAGCTAAATTCACCTTAATATCTTCTGTTAATGTCTTTGTTGCTTTTGCAGTTCATTAAGTTATTTGTTGCAATCATTCACATCTTCATTCTGTCTTTACTAACACCATATTAAATATGTTCTAATTACCTATGATCAGTATAATTTTCTGGATCCTATGAAAAATCCTAATCAAGATAAAGAACAAACATTCATAGAGGAAGAACACACTTTTTAAACTAAGTTTTTATAAAATCCAAAAGGAATTTCAGGACAATGCTTTCTTCTTCGAATTATTATAAGGAGGAAAAGGAACAAAATGAAATGGAATGTAAGTGAGAGACTGCTTACAAGTACAATTTGAATAGAAGACCAGCACAACTTAGTCAACATCAGAATTTATGTGGCTGAAATAGGCATGATAAAATATAACTAAAATATTCACTTTCAAAAATTTTTTATTTTTTAAATTTTTTATTATTTTTTATTTTTTTATTTTTGGTGGAACCCAAGACGGAACTCAGGCCCTTGCACTTGCCAGGCAAGCACTTATTCTACTGAGCTATCTCCCCGGCCCCCAAAATTTTTAATCATTTGGAAACATTCTTAAAAGTTTTCCCTGATTAAGATGATCCTATTTTGATCGCATCCATTTCTGTTATCTGTATTAGAAATTTGCCTGTAACTGGAACAAAACAGACAACACTAGCAACTTAGAGAAGTTTCAGTTTATTTTGGCTCACATTATATGCTGGGAAGCTATATAGCTCAAATTGTGAGTTTTCTGGTGGGTGCCGTAGTGTCTACTAATGAATTCCTTCACTAGTATAATATGGAAAGGCATAGAATCTTAAAAATTAATTATATAAAGTATGTACAGAGTGGGGGTCTTAGCAAGAATTTTAAAAACCAAATAAATTATGAGGAAGAAAATCTCAGAAATAAACGCAGCAATTGTAAAGTTTAAGGCAAATAGGATTTCACCTGAGGAGCAAGGAAAGAAGTATTTCCAACATAAGAATAAGAAGAGAAACAATTGCATTTATTTAACCTCTGTCACTATGAAGTTTAACTTTTAAAAAATTGTAAATGCATGACTGCCATGCAAATACAAAATAACACATGGAAACTTGTCTGGTCATTAATGGAGGAAATACTAGGTAGTAAAGTTTGGCTCTGATAGCATTTGAGGAACTGAGAATTAATAAGTATTTTTATAAAGTTAGAATAAAAGATTGACTTTTGACAAATTTGTAAAAGGAAACAAATTCTGAGCAAACAGTACAAACACAGTATTTTCTATTTATTTTAATAAGAAACAATTTTAGTCTTTGTTTCCGAGTTCAGTTGTTAGTGCCATCACCTTTGGTCAAATAGGTAAATTATTGCTTGTTTCTTCATCCATCACTTGGAGTATCTGTGTAACACTTGCTAAGATGGCACATACTTACCAACAACTCAAAAAAAGTACAAAGAGATTCATTTGGGTAAGGTAAATGGGGGAATGTGTCTGGGTCTCTAGGACCTTTACTTCCTTATTATTCTTAACAATTTATAAATAAATGAATGGGGCTGGGGAGACAGCTCAGTAGAATAAGCGCTTGCCTGGCAAACACAGGGTCTTAAGTTCAATCCCCGGTACCAAAAAAAAAAAAAAGATGGAAATTTAAAGATGAAATTAAAATAATATTGATAAGCAATGTTTTCATGCCCCTTTTCCCTTCTAGATAAAGAAAGCTAATGTTATTTGTAGGCCAGCAGTTGATAAAGAATGTGATTTCAATGAATACTGCAATGGTCAAGAGGCAGATTGTGCACCTGATACTTATGCACATAATGGATATTCCTGTGACTCAGGTGGTGCCTTCTGTTTTGGCGGAATTTGTCGGACACACGACAAACAGTGTCAAGCATTAATAGGAGGCGGTAATGACTATAATTTTCTTTTTAGTTTCTAAAATTTGATTACTTCGGTGTATTTTTTTCTCTTTTTAACTTTAAAATTTTTATCAGTATGTGTTCTCAGCATATAATGATTATATTCATCATGGGGAGTTGGTAGGTATACATAAAACACATCATTATCATCCTTCCTAATTCATTAAGACAAAAATGTTAACATAACTTATTATTGACTAAAGTATGTCCTAGTGTAGATCAGGGTTAAAGGAAATTGGAACTTTTATTTGCAAAATACAGAAATCTCAAGAAAAATTGAGCTTTTTATAGTGTTAAGTAGAAGTTTATTTTAGACTTAATAGAAACACTTTTTTAAAAAGCAAAGTAGTAAAAAAATAAATAAATAAATAAATAAAAAAGCAAAGTAGTACTAGTTACAAATTATATGGGTCTCCGAGTGCTTGCTTATGGTCCAAAGTTCTAACTTATGAGATAGCAATCCAACTTGATAGCTTCCTTTAAAGTTTGAATCATTTGCTTTGTGAAAGTATACACTACAGTCAACGAATCAATAACACCAATACAACAATACCAGAAATTATGAGATGCAATCAAAGCATTCTTATGAGGGGATTTATCATGATTAATTCTCACATAAGAATGAGCTCAAAGAAACCACCTAATGTTGAAACTAAAACTTCTAGAAAAAGAACAAATAAAACCCAAAGTTTGTACAAAGGAGAAAAATATTAAGAGCAAAAATCGATGCAATTGATGCTAAGAAAACAATCAATGAATATGCTTGTTCTTAGAAAGATTAAATAAAATTGATATACCCTAGCCAACTTCACCAAAAGGAGGAAAGAAAAGACTCAAGTTCAAGCAATTAGGAATGAGAAGGGGGAAATCACAACAGATCCTGACAAAAATCAGATTGTCTGATACCTACTTTGAGAAGCTATACTATAAGATGGAAAACATAGAATAAATAGATTCCTAGAAACACATAAATTTGCAACACCGAATCAAAAAGATATCGAAGTTCTAAATCATGTGACATCAGCCGATGAAATTTAAAAGGAATTTAAAAATTTACCAACAAATAAAAAGTCTGGTATTGATGGATTACTGTTGAATTCTGCAAAAAATTTAAGGAAGAACTAATGCCACTAATGTTGAAAATCTTCAATAAAATTGAAAGAGAAATAATACTTCCAAAATCCTTCCTGGAAGCAAGTATTTGCCCTAAAAGCAAAACCAGAGAGGGACCCAACTGAAAAAGAAAACTATAGGCCAATGTCCCTAATGAACCTATTATGTAAAAATCCTGAATAAGATACTGGAAAACACAATGAGATTATAAACCACAACCAAGTAGAATTCATTCCAGAGATTCAGGCCATCTCTGAATCAATATATGCAAATAAATTATTGTAGCATACCATATTCATAGAGCAAAGGACAAAGAAACAATCAATTCAGTGAATTCAGAAAAAGTATTTAACAAAATCTAACACCAATTCATGATAAAAGAAAAACTATAGGAAATAGGGATAGTGAATTTTTGTTTCTGTACAAGAATGCTATTGATTCTTCAGTGGAGGCTTTGTGTCCAATTGAATTCAGATATTAAACTTACAATGTTTTGCTGGAGTTTGGAGGGCCAAGTATCATATCATCCACAAATAATGATAGCTCCTTCCTTTCTTATCCTTATTCTTGTTTATTTCTCTTATCTAATTTATCTAGCTACTGTTTCCAAAACCTTACTAAGTAGTGATAGTGGGCATCCTTGTTAACAGATTTCAGAGTGAAAGGTCTCAGTTTCATCATATAGGATGATATTAGCTATTGGCTTATAATAGATGGCTCTTATCAGACTGAGATTAAGAATTAATCTAACAGTAAAAACTCTACACACTAAAAATTACAGTACTCTGGAAAAGGAGATTGAAGCAAATATCAGAAAATGGAAAGTCATCACTTGCTCAAGGGTAGGAACAAAAATTATAGTGAAAATGGTCATATCCTTCAAAATCTCATCCAGGTTCAATGAAATCCCAATCAAAATACCACTAGCGTACCTCATATAACCAGAAAAAACATGCTTGAAATTAATTTGAAACTAGAAGAGACCTAGAATAGCAAAATCAATTCTGAGCAACAGAATCAAGGCAAGGGCCATCACCATCCCTGATTCGAAGTTATGCTACAAAACTACTGTGATAAAATCAGCATTGTACTGGCATAAAACAGAACTGAAGATCCATTGAATTGATTAGAAGATACATTCAGAACTCCAAACACATTCAGTCACTATATCTTTGACAAAAGGGCCTAACATGTTCACTGTAAAAGAAATAGTCTGGCACCAGAAAAGCTGGTTTTCAATGTACTGAAGATTAAAACTATGCCTATGTCTATCATCATGCACTAAACCAAAGTCAAAATGGGTCAAAGATCTACATATCAAAACAGAACTATTAAATCTGCTGAAAAAGAAAGTAGGTGGAAATCTTGAAGGCATATATGTAGGCAGAGAGTTTATGAACAAAACCCAGATTACATAGGTAATAGTTCAAAGAATGAACAGTTGGCATCTCATCTTACTAAAACGCTTTTGTACATCAAAAGAAATCACCAACAAAGTGAAAAGAAAACCTTGAGTGGGAAAAATTTTTATGAGTTTTTCCCTCAAAGTACTTATATTTAAAAGAAGAAAAAAACCCACAGTATTTATATTTGGAATATATAAAGAATAAAAAGCCAATACCCCCAAATTTCCAATCTAAAACTGGGCATATGAGAAGAATATGCACTTATGCAAAATATTCAACAACATTCGTCATTCAAGAAATGCAAAGTAAAACAACACTGAATTTCATCTCCAGAACGAATGGCCATCATCAAGATATTAATCAATAACAATTGCTTGAGGGGCTATGGGAAAAAGGTACCATTCTCCACTGATGGCAGGAGTGCAGACTGGTGCAACTGCTGTGGAAATCAGTATGAAGTTTCCTCAAATACTAGGATTAGTGGTCCCGTTCTACATAGTTATTCCTCTTCTGGGTATCTTCCCAGAAGAAGTTAAAATACTGTGCTATCATGATTATATGTACACTGATGTTTAAGCAGCACTATTTGTAATAGTTAAATCTTGGCAACCCAAATGCCCGTCATCTGAAGAATGAATAAAAAAAGATGTGGTCTTTGTATACCGTGGAGTACTATTCAGCCATAAAACGGAAAAATTGGGCTCACTTATAGGTAAATTGGGTGCAACTTGAGACCATACTTACGTGTCATTATTCAGACCTGCATGTATAAACATTAGATTGCCTCCCTAGTGTGAGAAGCTGAAGGAGTAAGATCCAAAATGTACATTAGATATCGTAAAATGGGAAGAAATTATTTAAATGGGGGAAATGAATTAGGATGAACAAAAGGAAAAAGAAGGAAAGGAAAAGGAAAAAACATAAGATCATTATACTATTAGTTTCTCTTACTTCATTGAAAAGAAAGGTTTGTGCTAATATTGTTTGGAGAACTTTATGTATCCACATCTTGTACTTCGAGTAACAACTTTAAAGATAACAACATGAAATGTCTTAACTATCGCTATGCTTTTATTTTGTTATGACATTTTGTTTTACTTTTTTTCCGTAAAATTTTAAAACATCCACTTAGCAAAATGAGAAAACAAATACACAATTTCGTACACATACAATCTATGTTCTCAGAGTAAAACTCTTCTTTCTCAGTCTCCCTGTAAGGTCTTTTCCTCTCCTTTTTAAACCTAGCTCATAGAAGAGGCATCTAGGTATTATCTAGATTGCTAAGATTCCCAAGAATTTAAGGAGGTTATAATAAATGGAGCTATATTTATAAATGGAAGATAATAAATGGAGGTTTTGGTTACTACTACAATTTTGGTTTTTTCTTAACTAGAATTTTTAGTTGTACCATCTAACAAGACAATTATTATAAGTTAATGTTTGAAATATAATTTAGTTATAAAAGAATAGTCAATAAGATTAGGTGGAGTGGAAAAATAAATGAGATCTATGATTCAGTGTTTCTTTAAGTAAAATCAGCCCAGGGCCGACCAGGTAGCAAGTTATCATTCAGGTGTTCTACATGTTACATAACTTATTTTGAAATTTATATCATGTGGCTTCAAAGTCCTCTGATCACTGCAGGGTATAGGTACAATAATCTTCACCTCAACTAGTACAAATTTCTTTTTCAAGGCAAGCATGATATCTAAAGCACTGTAATTTCTAGTGTTTCTACCACCTCTCTAATTCTAATGACTTGTGTTATGGCTAGTACTTGATAAATAACTTTTTGTATTATTTTTGGAGGACAACTCAACATTGTAAGCCTCTGGGTGAGCTTAGGGACCAAAGAAAAATGGTGAAAAATTTCCTCCAAATGATAATGTATTTTCACGTAAATTAACCTCAGTTTTTTAATGGGTCATCTATGGTCTGCCTTGAGTAGGGTTTGATATAATTGTGAAGTAGGCATTTTCTTTGCAAGATAAAATCCACATACAACTTATTGGTAATAAACAATAAAGTAATTGCACCAAAGATATAATACAGATCATTGTGTTCCATAGAATTGATTTCCAGCACAAAAAATGGCGTATTAATATGCTTATAGTAAAAGACATATCTTATGCATCAAGCCATCATATAGTAATCTATACAGATGGCAATGACTGACATTTTATTTAATCTTTTGGTTTAATTTATTTTTTTTATAAATTTATTTATTTATTTGTGTGTGTGTGTGTGTGTGTGTGTGTGGCCAGCTCAGCCCACCAGGGGGCAGGTTTGGCTGGCATGTGGTGCTGGGGGATTGAACCGCGGTCCCTGTGTTTGATAAGCTTGTTCTAAGTAGGTGCTTTAGACCACTGAGCCACCTCACCAGCCCCTAAAAATAGGGTTTTTTTTTGTTTTTTTGTGGAACTGGGGATTGAACTCAGGCCCTTGCGCTTGCCAGGGAAGCGCTTATTCCACTGAGCCATCTCCCTGGCCCTGTTTTAATTTATTTTGAATTAAGAATTTTTCTATATTTTTACTTTAAAGGGAAAAAAGAAAAACAAGGAAACCAAGTTTTGAAACAGGTTAGTAGGACAGCTACAATAGTTGAGACATTGTATATTGTCTTTTATTAGTTAATCAAAGTAAGAGATACAGGCATAAAATCTTTTCTAAACAATATTAGCACAAAACAGTCTTTTCAAGGAACTAAGAGATGTTAGCTGTAAAACTCTCTTAAATATCTTGTATTATATACATGCAAATTTTTCCTTTTCCCTACCTTCTTTTCCCTTTTCCCTCCAACACATTTTTGGCTTTTCTTTTGCAGTTTTTCCTTGTTATATCTTAAACATAAATTATTTACCAAATACACAACTTCCAAATTTTGTGGCTTGGTCTCTGGATTCCTTTAATCTCTCAACTGATGTAACTTGCACAGCTACCGATGATCCTGGGGAGAAATGGTGAGGGGATTTAGAAAATAAATACAGAAAAGAAGAGTGGAAGTCAGGTGGTGGTTCTCTCTCCTGATGGGAGAAGAAAAACTGAGAAAACATTGTAGGAGTACTTTTTTATACTCTTACAAAATTAGTATCATAAGACACAAGGTTGCCGAGTGACTAATGACTGAAATTGTCCAGGCAGAATACCTTTCTCCAGACTGAGACTTGATTGCTGCAGGCCTTGTGGCCTTGTCTTGCCCCCACGCATATCACCAGTTTCCAGATTCAACCACTCCTAACACTTAACTCTGTCCTTTGAAAAGAGAAAATGTTCACTTTTGATGAAGTATACCTTATCAGTTTGTTCTTCGATTGGTCATTTTTTGTTACAGCTAAAAAATCTTGCCTAACACAAAGTCACAAAGATATTTTCTTCTAGTTTTACTTTTTATAGTTTCAGATTTTATACTTAGGTCTATGATCCGTTTAAAGATTTTATTTTATTTTAAAGAGGAAAAACAACAAAATTTGAAAACAAGATAATAGGGGAATAAAAAGGGTTAATATATTGCACATTGTTATACTAAAATTAGTTACTTAAAGTCCAAGACATTAGCATTTAATTATCCAAGAATATTAACACAAACCTTCTCCCCAATGAACCAAGAGATATTAATAATATCACTATTTCAACACACACACATATGCATACACACACAAGTACACACACACACACACACATTTTTCTTTTGGATTTTCTCTTCCTTCTCTTTTTCTTTTTTCCATCACAATTTTTTTTTCTTTTTAAGATTCTTCCCACTTTAAAATATCTAGTATGCATTTTTGGACCCTATGACTCTTTCAGCTTCTCCCACTAAGGAGAAAATATGATGTTTACACATATGGGCCTGATTTATTTCATTTATGAGTATGGTCTTCAGTTGCATCCATTTACCAATAAAAGTCTTCAGTCTATCCTCCTTTGTGGTTAAGTAGTACTTCTTTGTATAAAAAAAATATATCTTTTTATCACCAAAGTGATGGGGGCAGTCATTATGGATTTTTTAATTTTTTCATAATTTAAAAACTACATATAACTAAATATGTACAAGGGCTACAATGGATGCACATTGATCTCTTAACTGTGAAATTCAGTAATTCTTAGTGATTATTAGTATCTCAAGAAACAGAGGTGAAGACCGTGGTATGGAACAAAGAGATGCTGTTCATGTTGGTTGTCCATATTGCATCCTGAATATTACTAATATGAGTATTAAGTAAGAATTTAAGACAATAATCAATTTATAATAGAGGAATAGAGCTGATTGTCTTCATAAAAGTGCAGAACCATTTCATAATATTACGCTTTACTTTCTGTTTGATAGAAAACAAAATCCACCAGGCTTAAAATCAGGAGGAATTCTCTTTTTAATCCAAACCTAACCCCACAAAATTCAATACTGAGAAATCACAGACCTTCTTAGAAGTCATACTGTAATTTTCAGACCAACTCTATTATTTCTATAATTTGAATTCTGTATTATATTTTACTTGTTTTGTTGCTATTCATTTTAGACTCTAGAGGTGCTCCTTTTGCTTGTTTTGAAGAAATAAATTCCATGGCAGATAGTTATGGAAACTGTGGCAGGGCCCAGTGTAACATTCGGTATGTATTTAATTTTATTAGAAATGCAGGTTCTAAATTACTAAAATCCTAGAATATATCCAGTACACAGTAAAATGGTATATTTTTTTCAGATTTTCTTTGTTGCATGATCTGAGCTGAACAGTATTTCACTATAATAATACATATGTGTCCAGTGCTTAAAGCATCAGTGGCCATATAAATAAGCTTCTATTTCTGTTTATAATTAGCTAAACCTTGTGTTTGGCAGTTTATATATGGCAGATACAGATTATAAATATGTATTAATATAAATCAAATTTATGCAGAAAAAATACTTATTCTTTTTTATTCATGAAAAATTAAAGATCAATAATCATTTGTTCATGTTTTAGATGCTAGAATAAGTCAGAAAATAACCACAAAAATTTAACAATTCTTAACTTTTCACTCGCTAATTTACCTCGTAAAGCTAAAGGAGTGCTACCAGTCATTGCTAAAATCATTTAGTGAGAGAAAATGATTGAAATCTAGATTTAAATTAGTAAAGCATTTTTTCAACTTAACTGTCTGCTAGGTTAAATAAGAGTAAACTACATTTTCATATTATGTAGGGAACTAAGATAGTAAACAATGTAAGAGGAACAGAGAGAGACACATAACTGTTTATTTTTTAAAAAATTTTGTTGTTGGGCTTGTGAGATAACTCAGTGATTTAGAGTGCCAGCTTAGGCAAGGTTAGGCAAGCACAGGGACTGCAGTTTGATCCCCAGCACCACATGTGCCAGCCAAGGGTGGCACCAGCCACACATGCACACACACACACACACACACACACACACACACGTTTTTTGGTGGTGCAGAGTCTTGTTATGCAGCTTTGACTCTTCGTGGTCCTCCTGTCTCAGTCTCCTTGGTGCTGGGATTACAGGTGTGCACCACAAGGCCAGGTTTTGGGGCTGGCATGTTACACCCAGGGTTCAGAGGCCAGCACTGCATGTGGTACTGGGGATTGAACTTGTGTCTTTGTGCTAGCCAGGCAGGTGCTTAGATTGCCGATCTATCTCCCAAGTCCGCTCATTTTCGTAGCAATGGGGAGCTGGTGTTATTTATTAACTTAGATTATTGGCTATCAGTTATTTCAATAAATGATAAAATAATTTTCCTTTGTGTTCCTAGACATGCTTTATGTGGAAAATTAGTTTGCATGTGGCCACACAAACAATTAGTATCACGTCCGAATTTATCTGTGATTTACACACATGTTCGAAATGACATATGTGTAACTACATCTAAAACTATAAGGAAGATAATTAGGACCATATCGTTAACTACATACCTTGAACCTAGTGACAGAGATGAAACATTTGTAGAAGATGGAACCATTTGTGGTCCTGGCCAGGTAACTATATAGATTCAAGTTTTAAAACAAATTTTAAAGGGTATTTTCATTTTGATACTCTACCAACCAGTATATCTTTCTGAATATTTTTATTTTGGTAAAATACACATAACTAAAATTCCTATAACCATTTTGAAATGTGTAATTCAGTGATATTAAATATATTCATACAGTTTTGGTAATTTGTACCTTTCTAAGAATCTTTTGAGAATTATTTTGCTGAATTCACACACCTACAATATTTAAATGACAATGGAGTACCCATCTCTGACAAAACTAAACATGAAAAGGGGATACAAATGAAAGACCATTTTGTATCTGTATACACAAAATAGTTAGGATATATATACATCTACTTTCTCTTAATTCAATGAGAAGAAAGATTTGTATTAATAGTGTTTGAACAGGATATCATGTCTGCATCTTGTACTATGAATAACCAGTACAAAGACAACAATCTGCAATGTATTAATTATTGAAACTGTCCTACTAATTGGTTTTGAAACTATCTCATTGCTATTTGTTTCTCAATAAAATCAATTTAAAAATAAAAAGAATACACCAAATTGAATATATATATATATATATATATATATATTCATAGTGTTGTAGAATCATCATGATTCCTCATAACTTTTTTGTCTTCTATCATGGTTTGTGTCTGAATTTCCCCCAAAGCCTTATGCAATGATGGAAGGGTGGGATTTTTTGGAAGTGGATTTAGCTATATATCATAATTTATTTATGATCCAGAGCTAGGATTAAGGGTGTGAGTACTACACCCATCCTAGGACAGGTAGCCTGTATACAATATAAGGGTCATAAAGAGTCTTACTAGGCCCCCATCTCTCCTGTCTCTCCCTCCACTCTTGTTGTTTTTGCTCTTTTCTGCCACTATGAGCTGTTGCTTCTCTGCTATATGTCACCCTGCCTTGGAGCCAGCCAACTATGGAGTGAAATCTCTACAAACTGTGAGCTCCTCTACAAACTCTCAGCTAAATTAGTGGAAACTCTTTCCAAGGAGCCAATTTTCAAGGATTCCTACAGTTAGTCCCCAGTCTTCTTCTAAGTATTACAGCACTTGGTGGGAAGAAAAAGCAAGAGACAAAATAGGGATGCAGCAGAGATCTAGGATGACTAGTTGTTTACAAGGAACAAAGGATCATGAGACAGCCATAACCTTGATATATATGGATTACATCTGTGTCAAAGGCAACAGATGAATATTTCCAGGAACTGTAATGGTTACTATGGCTTACTAGTAAAAACAAAGCATACTGTCAAGGACAAGACAGGGGAAGCAAGGAAACTGTAGTTTCACTAGGTACCCTATCATCTTCAGAAGGTCTTATCTTGCTCTGTGAGTGACACAGTAGTCACTAGCTGGAGGTCTTTAGCTGTGTCTAGAAAAGAGCAGGAATTTTCTGAGTTCTAATCTGGTTGAAAGGGAAGGACAAGGATGGGTTTATATATCTTCTAGTCTCAACATCTAATTTGTGGTTCCTGACAAATACACCCTTTCCTCCCTTGACTTTGTGCATTGAGTATTTTGTCTCAGCAATAAGTAAAGTAGTTAAGACAGAATTTAATACCAGAGAAGTGAAGTCATTGCTGTAACGATACCTGACTATGTGGTTCCTTAAGGTATGGCTTTTGGGATTGGCTTTTGAGAAGAATTTGGAATGATTTGGAGATGCCAAGTAAAAATTAGAGCAGGAATGCATTAGGCTGCACTGTATACGAGATTAATGTCAGAGCTCAGAAGACATGAAAGTTGTTAGACATCTTGTTGGTAAAGACCAGGATTGGGAAGTTTTGGCTAGGAAGAAGGATTGCCTTGACTTTTGGACTCCAAATGTTGTGTGTCATGACTTGGCAGACAGTTTGTCTCTATTTTGCTATGTCCAGAGACTTTAGCTGAGACTGAGATTAAGGGTGCCAGACTAATTGATTTGGCAGAAGAAAGTTCAAGGCATTCCAACATTGAAGCAGTAGCATGTGGGGGACTTATAGCCAGATTTATGTTGAGAATCAAGAGCGTAGAACCCAGGAGAATGATTTAAAACACTGTTCGTTTGGCCAGAGAGTAAAGCTATGGGCTACAGAAATAGAGCAGAGAAAATGATAATTACTGAGAAGAAATTCCTATTCCTTCCTAGAAAAGATGGCCTGAGGGCATCACAAGAAGCATCAGAACCCCACCTTTTGCAGTCTTAAAACTTCAAAAGTGAAAGGCTTTGAAGAGAAAACCACAGAGCACTATATATACTCCAGAATGGTGGCAGCATAGAAAATTTGCCCCTCAGAATTGGATTTAGAGTGCACAGGGATCAAGGCACTACAGCCAAAAGAGAGGAAAGCCTGGCTACTCTTCCAGGTGGTAGCAGACCTTGGCATCATTCATGTGACACTGGTTTTAAGTGCAGGTAGAATGCAAGTTTTGGGGTTAAGGGCATTTACACCCCAATTTTGGAAGGCTGGAGCCTCAGTCATGCTTTACTAGAGGAGCAGATACAAGATGTACAAATGTATAAGAAATTATAAGATTGGCTTACTACAGTCAGCCATAGAATCAACTAAGGAACTGTGCAGAGGGCATCTGAACCCTGGAGACTAAAGGATTTAGTCCATGGTCTGGAGCTCACTGCAGTGTTCTGTGATGTATCAGGAGGCTGATGGGCCTGTGATGGAAGGCTGATGAGGCTATACCAGAAGGCTGCAAGATCCAAGCGGGGAGCCAGAGTCTGCAATGTAAGCCAGGAGACAGTGTCCAAGCTGACTGGAGCTCCTATGAGGAAATAGAATGCTCCATTCTTTCTCAATCCCCTTTTTACATCCTTTAAGTGATAAGTCACTTTAGGGCAGGGCTGCCATGTGCCAGGGTGTGGAATTGCTGAGAAAATTTAGTTAAGCTTTTAACTTCTCAAGCTGATACATTGTATCAAGCACTACAGCCTGGGAGGACAAGCTGTATGCCTCTGAAGGGGAGGGGCAGTGTGTGAAGCTGTGAGGGTGAAGCCAGATGTGCAGTGGAGACCCAGAAGTTTGGAGAAACCAGGAACATGGCTTGTCTGAGGAAAGCTTCCAGGAGGGTGCAAAGTAGGCCTATGACAGAAGCCATGAGAGCTACAATCACTGAAATTGCCTTTGGGGCAGAGCCACTAAAGCTCTTTGCAGTTCACAACTTATCTCAGATAGTTTTAGGTGTTCCATTTGGAACTACTGGACTTAATATCTTCCCTCATGGATTTTGGACTTGCTTTGGTCCCATTCCTTTGTTCCCCTGATGTAACTTTTGGAATGAAAAATGTCTATCTTGTGCCATTGAATGTTAGAAGTGTTTAAATGTTTTTGCATTTATACAGGGGATCACAGCTAACAGTGCCCTACATCTCAGAAAAGACAGAACTTTTCAGAAATGTTGAAATTGTTAGGGCTTTGGAAATTCTTAGCGATGGACTAAATGTCTTTTGCAGAAAGGGATGTGTATGAGTTCTTTGGGTCAAAATGTTGTTTGTGTCTAGATTTCCCTCCAAAGCCTCATGCCATCATGGGGGTGGACTTCTAGAATTTGCGGTTGATTTGAGTTCCAACACTGAGATTATGGATGTGAGTTGTACCCATGCCCTGGAGCGGGTAGCCTGCCTGCAATATATGCAAGAGAGGTCTTCCCCTCCCCTTTTCTCTTGCTGCTTTTGTTATCTCTCACTGACATAAATTATAGCCCCTCTGCCTTGTTCCACCTTGTCTTAGAGTCAGCTGCTCATGGACTGAAATCTCCAGAAACTTTGAGCTAACTAAATTTTTCCTGCTTAAATTTGGGGTGTTAGGTATTTTGACCCAACACTGAGAAAAAAGTAACCAAGACATGTTCTCCCTCCATTTTGAATGGTGAGGATTCTGTTGAAATACCTGAGAACAACTTCATAGAGGTTTCCTTTTATTTATTTACTTTTCCAGTCATTGCAAAACTGTCTGTTTGTGTTTACCGTTTTACTATCTACATTCACAATGTTGTTTTCTGGCATTGTCCTTGACTACTTCTGTCTTCAGAGTAATCCTGACCCCAAATGTATTTAAAATTATGTCACTCCCTTAAAATTTTTTAGAAAAGTTTGATTGGTATAGTTTCTCTTTGACCTTGTAGTATAATTAATCTGAGTAATTAGATATAAGAATTATATATTTGTTAGGTTACATTTTATTACTGATTCATTTCCTTTAATAACCAATTCATGTGTTCAGATTTTCTATATCTCCATGACTTGATTGTTAGTTTTCTGTGTCTAGGAATTTATCTATTTTTTCTAGATTGTCTGATATATAATCATTTGTAGTAGTCAATTATAATCTTTTGTATTTGCATAGTATCAATTGTTCTAACTCTCACTTCTGATTTTGAGTCTTTTATATTTTTGATATAGTATAGCTAAAGATTTATCAATTTTGATTATCTTTTAAAAAATAACTTTTTAAAAAACAACTTTTAAGTCCCTTGTCATGTAGTTTTTCTAGTCTACATTTTACTTATTTCTGTTCTAGCATTAATTTTCTTTCTGCTCTAGCATTTAGTTTACATCTCTATTTTTTGGGTTATTTGAAGTCTTTATCCATTTTTGATGTGGAGATTTTGTTGCTCTAACCTTTCCCATTATAAATGCTTTTTCTTCATCTTGTTGTCTGGGATACTCTTCTCTTGTTGTTGGGACAAGTACCCAACACTCAACTGAAGGAGCGAAAGGTTTATTTAGCTCACAGTTACTGGAGATTTCAGTCTATACTCATCTGGCTCCAAGGCAGAGGGGCATATGGCAGAGAACAGTCTTTCCTGGAAGTGGCAAAGAGCAGAGAGTGAAGGGTAGCAGCAGCAACGATGGAAACAGAAAGAAAGTCTGTCTCCCTTATGTTATATTCAGGCTATTGGCCCCAGGCTAGGTATAGCATTCACACCCATAACCCCAGCAGCATTCATATCCATAATCTGAGTGGAGCATGAGTTA